CTCCATTATTGGGAATGTTAGATATGTACCGTGCATGTACTCACATTTACAGAGATAAATGGTACATTGAACCTGCAGGGCATTGCCACAAACTCTTGTTCTAGACTTATATGAGAAGATGCCATAATGGCAGCTGCACCACCCTCACACGTTTTATTGGCAAATCACGACACCCTGTTGGTCAAAGAGGCATGCAGTCATGGCTTCTGATTTTGGCTGTATACACCAGCACTGTGCTACTGCAGTCATGTCTTCTCATTATACTTATTGCTGAATGACACTATAGTGAACATTGGGCTTTGGATCCAAGTTTGCATTCGTGTAAGCAAGAGTGAACGTTAAGTGTACATGAGCTCATGTTTAGGGCCGTTGTCATGGAAATAAAGTATTAATAAGAATAAATGCTTAGGCTTGTTTTGTTTATGTCTCAGGTTACTTGTGAAATCACTTGGACAAAACTCCAGCTCTGGTACAGTACATGTATGTATTTTGTGTTTGTTTACAAATGTCATTTCAAGCTCCTAAAAATGTTCTCCAAATGCTCAAATTTTTACACGATATTGGTAGATATAAAAATACAATTGCCATCCAATGAAACCACAGACTCATTAAGTGAAAATGAAACCAAAGATCTGAAGTGAAAACAAAGTCATACCTTGGTTTACAATGATAGAATTTAAGGTATACATACAGTACTTGTTTGTAATATTCTATGTATTAAAATTAGTTCTGAAATATAGTTCCTACATCAAGCAGGTTCTTTCAACACTTGTTCAATCTCAGCTGCCAATATATACATAATTATAACTTGATCCACTTTTACTGAAATCTCTCATAACAAACCCATGTACATATACTTCCAACGCACTGCAGGTACATGTGCAGTATCTATGGTATAGTGTCACGTTTATCACACCATAAACATCCTTTTCAGCTTTCTCAGCCTCAAAAAGTGAGCAGATTTCAGTGATACATGTAAATGCCAAAATAGCTATTCTGTTCTATGGTATGTCCCCCCCAAAAGAGACAAATGCCAAAAAATATAAGGTCATTGTGAGGGCAGACACTGATCACGGTTCATACAGGAAAGTGTTACCAAAAAAAAACCTGATCCACTTCAAAACCGATCTATGTACAAAAAGCCGATCCACTGGAAAATTTGCATAATGGCCTGCATTATGAAAGTACAAGTGTTTTCTTTCTACAGGTAGCTTGCCCAGTATTCATATGATGAAAAATTTTCATGAACTATTTTAACAACCAATAATTTTGTCCCCGAAAGTACTATTACAGAACCAGTCTCCATTTAGTGTCAGTATGTATGTACATGTAAATATAAGCATTTGCATGCAATGGGCCAATGTTTTGGTCACAACAGAATCAATATATTTATGACCCCAAATTCTTTAGTTTGAGACTACAAATGTGTGTGGACGCTTGATCCATTACATCAACATTTATGTCTTAAAGTTACTTGATCTCTGGACTGACTGTCTTTTCAAAGATATTACATTTACTTTCGCTCAAACGACGGGTGAAAGAATAAACTTCTGATTGTTTTACTAAATCTGTAAATATAACATTCAAAGGGGGCATTTTTTTATAATTACGTCTCTGCTGATTCACTTAGATGTATGACAATTATTATATATTTTTACAAGTAAAAATAAACCAAAACTTACTTTGTCCTTTCAAGAAGAACCACAACATACAAAACATCTTGCTTTAAAAATTCCTGACTAAAAATCAATTTTTTACAAACACCAAGATGAGCCTTATCAAATCTTTTTATGCATTTATCATACTTTCCATTTTATCAGGAGCAACCTTCATCCATTTTCATTCTATGTATGTACCCGTCACATAAAGTGAAAAAAAATTACTGTGGTCGTTAAACCTTTCACAGGGCACTTAGCCTTTACGCTCCTTCACCAGGGACATTTTAAGAATCAGACTGTGCATTGTTATCACACTAGACTCTCTGGAGGCTTGATAGCATCAAAGGTTACCATTTTGTAAACTACATGCACAATTGGCAGAAAAGCCACTTCAATGACTCCCATAAAATGTTCTCTCAATTGAAACCTCCCTACTCCTAGCAGATGTGCTTTTGGCAGTGTTGTAGTTGCAGAGGGCTTTGAAGACAAAAGCCTGGTATTCCTTAGAGTAGCTTCGGAATGGTTCGGGGACGTTTCTGTCCCTGATATGCTCTTGATCAATGATGGGAACAAAGCGGATATTTCTCTGTCTCTGACGAAACTCCGTCTCCATCAGACCATAGATGAAGCTAAGAAATGATTGTCAAAGGCAAATCAGCAACAGATTAAACAGTAATGCCAACAACAAGGGTTATTATACCAATGGTATAAGCAAAACCAATGTATTCAAGTCAAATAGGTGTTTTCAGGAGACACTGAATCTTACCCACAAGTGGGAATGACCTGTTAGAACTCTAGTAACTTGATACATGTACATGTAAAGCTCTATGCTTAGCACCTGTCTATTCACATATAATGCATGTTATTGCGCATGCATCCATATTCGGTAACTTACATGTACATATGTACATCATTTGATATGACTGATGTTGATGTTTGAACAAAAGGTCACTGGTACACACTCGCAGGATTTTCTGGAGCAAGTGTTGACAACCAGAGGCAGAAACTGTCAGTTACTAATTCTTGAAGTTATGACTGAATACATGTTGAGAGGTTAACTGAGATCCAAAAGTGTGAGAATTCTAATGAGTAGTGAAAATAAAATCTCACCGTGTGTTCAAAGGAGATTTTACTCGGCCTCCGATTTCTTTGATGTAGTCCTTGTTACAGATTATGATGATGTGAGTTGCCTGCAAGAGACAGTTTGTGTCATATACATTTCATGGTTCAAGACTTTTCATCAAACTTTTACTGTGCTATTCCACCCATCAAAGTCATAAATCAGATCTTCCAAGTCATACAGTGTTATAGTGTAGACAAAAAAAGACAGCAGTGGAATAATCTTCTTCCAGTGAAACTTGACTTTGGCAATTTTTGACAAGACTCTTAAAAACTAAGAGTTCAATCAACCTGCCACCTGACAGTGAGATTAGAATTCAGGCCAGTATATACAATGTAAATAAAACAGGGACTTACTGTCTTGTACAGTCGACTTGTTTCCTCCCGACTATGTGTTGCAGACATAAAGGAGTCTATCTTCCTATCCACAATCACATTTTGGCCTGCAGTCTTCAATGCCATACCCAATTGGAATGCCCTCTTGAAGGATGTGTAGGGATATGTGATGAACCAACAATTGTCTGTCCGTGAAAATGGAAACTAGGTGAATACAGAAAGACAAACTATAAATTCCATTTCTTTTAACCCTAACACTCCTCAGTCCTCCAACAGGTGAAGGATTGAGGAGGGTTAGGGTTAATAAGTAGAGATGGGTGAAAGGCCCCGATATCAAATTCAGTAATTTGTACAGTGAATTTGACCACAAAAGTTAATAATGAATTTAACCCTCTAAAATGGAAGTCACTCTTTGGATAAGTTGGTCAGTGACACAAAGATGTGTTAATTTATGAACCCCAGAGGGATGTCAGTCTACCCTCTGTGCTATCCACCAAATGTGCTTCACTGTTCCATAAGAATAATTTTGCAATAACCAAGGGAGTGAAGAGGACTGCACAAAAGAGCATGAGTTATTGTGTGCTGGAAAATAACTGATACACACCGAAGTGGCATAGAATTGTGTTCCCATAGCAACCACATGCAAAACAAGTTGACGGTTGGTATTTGTTCCTGTGTGCTTCCACACCATTGGAAGGTTACGGAGAAACCGTTTGGGAGGATTTACATTTAGTCTCCTAAATCAATGGACAGACAGAAGCTGAGACAGGCAAAATGCAGGTAGACAAACAATAACAACAACAAAGTGCTAGATAAACTTACTCCTGTAGGAGTCTTGTACTTGAATTGGTGAAGCACCTGTTTCAGTGGTATTGACTGGAGACACAGACCTGAGTGGCTGGATGGAGCTACATGTATGTCCCAAGAACCCTGGCCCTTGAAGCAGATATTCAGGACCAGATTCGTTCGACTGTATTGGAGCAAAGTGTTCGTTCTCTCTGATACATATATTTGACCGACTGCTTCTGCCTGCACTACGTGGGGGCCAAGTTGAGAAGGCATTCCTAGGATCAGAATCCGTCAGTCGGTGTGGATTGGGATTTAATTGTAAGCCATTCATGTGGAGAGAACTTGAGCGATCTGAAATCAGGGAGATCTGGCTCCTGTTGAAATTCATGGGTGTCTGCTCATAATTGGGTCCTTGTGCTCCAAAGTCAGGATTGAACTCTGCTTCAACTTGCATGTCAGGTTGTCGGTTGCTACGAGGCTGAAGTACCTGTAGATTGTGAGGATCTTCAGGCAAGCCAGGGGAACAAGGTTGCCTCTGCCTGTCAGCTCTGGTTGAGGCTGAATGGTCTGGCCATCCATGATAAGATGACTCCTGTGGTGAAGGATGGGGCTGCTGTTGGCTGTGATTCCGACAGCAAGAAGCCATTGAAGGATATTGTGATGAGTTCTTGTAGCATCTTAAGTCAGGGCTAAGTTGTCCCTGATGTGATGGGTTACATGTACTTTGTGGAGAAGTCATAATAGGCTCATCATAGTAATCCAGGAAAGTTTGGTCTGAAGAGGGAGAAATTAAAAATTAATACAATATCAAATAAATTCAATTAAACAAAAAGTTGCCTTGAGAAAACTGAAAAAGTGATAACTGACCATATTGACATGATTTAAAAAGACACACAGGATTAAAAAAGAACAAAAACAATACATGTATGCCATGTAGAGCACCTGCTAAAGTGTGAAATATCATATTTCTAGTTTCTAATTTTTCTTACCTTCACTCATTTTTACAACTAAAGATGCAGCATCTTCTCGTCCCAGATCCTTCAAGACGGCAAATAGCTGTTGAACTGGGACGTCTTGATCAATGGTGAGGCCACGTTGCCATTCTCTAAGCACCTCCACAGTGGGAGAAAAGGATGGGTTTGGACACTTGCTCTCCATCAACTGTAAAAATTTAAGACAAACCCAATATTTTATATTCTGTAATTCTGAGCATAGGCTAACATAAAAGAACAAACCCTATGACAACGAACACACAACAATGATTTTATGTACAAGCAGCAAATGCAATTGCCATCAGCAAATAACAATTAAAATTCCATTGTACTGTTGTAAGATCAAAAACAGAGCTTTGACTTGGGAATGGAAATGGTCTGTCAATTTACAAATAATTGAGCATCTTTTTTTCCGAGACCTACTGTGGTTTATCAAAGGAGTCAACAGTTTTAAATTTTTTTCCCAGTTAAAGCACCTAAATTACCAGTGAAGATGGGCATGTATGTATTTTTATTTCTTAATATCCTGACCATGCTGACTGCATTTTAAAAAATCTCTAAATTTATTGATTTACCTCAATCCACTCATTGGTGAACTTCCGTTGATCGAGATCACTTGCAACGAGTCTCCAATTTTTTCGGGAGGCAGGATCCAATTTTGCGCGTAGGGCCTCCATTGCTTTGACAGTAATGCGTGGCCTTTTGCGCACTGAAGGCGCCACGGATGATGACATTTTTGAATACATGGTGACACACGTACTGTCATACGTGCCCCCAAGCAGTTACATCTATGTCATTTGTCCTGGAAATATTTATACAAAAATAAAAAGTTCAAATTAACATACAGCTGGTAGAATCTTCTCTTAGGACAACAAGAAGCAGATGATGGCAAGTCTGATAGTTGCATTTTGAAAATGCTCATTTCCATCAACTATTTAAAACTATCGAGAAAAGTACATGTACCTATGTGTTCTTTGCCTAGTCTGGGTAAAGTTTCCCCTGATTATTGTCATTTTCTTACCTGGATGTTGACAGGTCGCAGTAGCGCATTAATCATGTATGGATTACATGTACCTTCAAAGACATTACATTGTCAACTAGAGACTACCAGTTTCAAATTCTAGACATCTTAATGACCATAACACATTCCAACTGGTGTGCATCTACAGTTGTGTAGCTGCGATCAATTACCACAAACTGCGTCGTATCGAAACACAAGTCTGAAGCAAAATGAATACAGCACTACATAGTCTATGGTACACTGAAGGTACTACATGTAATGTACGTGTATGTACATTACAAGGCAAAGTCCATGAATATATCATAAAGCAATGGCACACCCCAGATGGTACATCACAAAGCATAGGTGCTATTGCTTGCTCTGTACGTTCCCTCTAAATAAAAGCTCAGGTCAAATGAGACCCACAGCTCTGTTCCTATTGGATGACAACTCATGTACATGTACATGTACCAGTAGTTTGTACAGGTAGTCCAAATTTGCATAAATATGAAGTCACTGAAGCACAGTTGGTCTACATGCAAATTACATACCAATGCCAACAACACCACCTATGACGCTGTATGGTTTACACAGCACAGTAGAAGCAATCTTGTGAATTTAGGCAGAACCGTTTCTCAGGTTGGAAGTTTTACATATATGGTGCCTGCACTTAAAGGACAATTAAATTCCATGCCTTTTCCATGACCAAATTATGAAAATCCAATAATTCAATTTCTTGGACTATTTGGACTGTTAAAGTTGCGAATAAAATGATGCATTTTATGCACTTATTTCCATGACTTTAGTCATTTTTATAAAATTCCATGACTTTTACGGGCCTGGAAAAGAAAACATATTTCCATGACTTTTTTATGATATTTCCATGCCACAGGAACCCTGCATACATGTAAATGTTTCCAAACATTTCTGTGGGTGTTTGTTTTTCATTGGTTTTGTTTACTCTTGAATCAGTTGGACTAGAATACTGAGCACTGTCAGTTTTAAGGTACATGTACACAAGTATGCACATTTTATACATGTTGTCACTCTTAGTATAACTTTTGCATTATCCTGAAATGTTGAACAACTTTTAAATTCAATTTGGTATTCTGGAGCACACATTTAACTTATGATGTTATGAACCAATGAATAACTACTCTGTGCGGATGACTGATAAAGGCATACATGTACATACACCAGCAACGGAATGATTTTCAAAGTGGGAGAGGGGGACTATAGTTAGATCATCAGGTATCAGTCATTAATAGCTCGATCCACTGAGTCCTATCCAATTATAGGACCTGCAAAAAGTGGGGAGGCCAGGTCCCCAAGTTGAAACTGTGGGGGGGGGGCACTGCCCCTCCCTTCCACTGCCAGTGTGTACGGGCATCCAGTTATGGTCTTTCTGAGGGCTAAGGGAACATTCTGATGCTTTTCATTGTCGGGCCTACACTTTGGGAAGGAAGACTCACTTGAGAGTGAGACAACAGAACCCCAACATCATCTTTCTCTTATTGCCAGTATTTTAAAAAAAAAGGTTTTACAAGTAGTTCCTTTATTTAAGGGGAGGGATTATAATGAACCCGTTGTCTCCCCCCCAAGAGTTCTACATCATGTGCATCACTTATTTTTCCTTACAGTGGTAAGTCAGACATCAGAAATTTATAACAAACATGAATGACTTGAATTTTAGAGTCAAATTTAGCAGGCAAAATATTAAAGTGTTTACTTAGAAAGTATAATTTTTCAGACCAGATTGTGCGCAGGGTGCCTTGTAACTTATTTGTTTCTGATAAAAATACAAATGCAACTTACAATGTGTTTCATGTACTTACAAGCTTCTTTTCACCTACAGGAAAAGGGCCATTTTGGAAAGTGCAAAAATGAATGGAAAGAGATCCATCCCAGGACATCACTTCATGCCCTGTGCACAAACCCTTGTTTTCTTAATAGATGCTTTTTCCCTGATAAAGTTGACATTTGTATGTGTAGGATGTTTTCTCTTTTGTGACATGTCTGATGGCTTGTAAACCACCGCAAGGAAAAATCTGTGGTGTCTGTACACTAAATAAATAAAGGAATAAAGGTCAGTTAAGTTAGTGATGGTCCCCTCCTTCATGCAAATAAATTCTGATGAGAAACTATTCATTTTTTTTTACTTGGTACTAACATGTACACTCTCAAGTTGTATTGGCACTTTCATGGAGGAACAGACTTCCTCCATGCCTACAGAAATGCAGAATTCCATAACCAAAATAACGAGTACATAAACAAGCATGATGTAGCTTCTAAGGCAATAAACAAAGCACACACGATGCATAGTACACTCGAAGAAAAATAAACCATAGACTCATATAGGAGTGCAGGTGTACACACCAGTAATGCACTGCGGACATAATGCATGTACAGTGGCTACATGTACATGTTATTCCTGGGTATAGCACTACACACAAGATTTTACGTTGTCCTTTTTTGTCATCTTTCTCTTCCAGAAAGTAAATAAAAGATTTGTGTTACTTACCAAATGAAGGAATGAATGCTTTCAATAAGTTTGTTGTAGAAAACATGGGGATCTCTGATCAGGTTAGTCCATTCACAGGTGTTATTGCTGATCAGCCGGCACACGTCACGATCACGGAGGCTAGGGCCGGGACACACCTGCATTTCGCGCAGGTGCAAGCGCCAAAGCTGTGAACGAATAATTTTATTACATCTAAGATACAGAGGGCGGTATAACCGGTTTGTGGACCAAGCTAGATAAAAACTCATCGCCGCTCCTGACCAGCTCTACAGTGCATGCAGTATGTACAGCTCCCGATTTTGGCACCCGGAATCCGATCTTTAAAATTTGTTAATGTAGTTCTTTCCCGTACTTGTTATTGTGCATACAATATCAAAGTGTACAAAACTTTAAAAAATTCCTTTTTTGGAAGGCTAAGGGGGCAACGTCCGGATTCCTGAAATAGTTTATAGAGTCGGACTGGATTCTAACTCCATTTCGGAACACGGGTGCAAACTTCAAGCTGCCGGCTACAGAACTACAACACGTCAGTGTTGTAAAAATGAAGGACTGAAAGCACGCAAAAATAATTTACAACCGAATGCATTCAAGATTGACGGGCTACTCACCCCTAAGTCCAGTGGCGTATATACCAGCGGAGCGGTGGGAACTGGCCCCCCGACCAACAGATTTTTCGGACTTCCCCGAGACCTAAGTGTTTTATGGCTGCGTGATACTCGCAACCACTGAAAAAGGAGAAAATGGTAAGAAAAAAAAAGAAACAGAGACACGCTCTTGTTTTAAAGGTAAGGTTTAAGGGTATAAAGGATGCCAACCGGTAGGCCTACATCTTTTCATGAACAGCGCGCCCCTATAGTGTCGCATGGTGTGAAAATAATGGTTATAATATCTTTCATGCCCGTCATACGCAGTACGTATGCTACCGCAAGAAACTTGAGAAAGCTTACTTATCGTATAGCGAGAAAAATTCTACACATTGTCACTTTTTTGTTAGAACTCTTCATTGTTTCAATCCGCCTACAAGCCAACAACTGGTAAATAGTTTTGACTTTTCACGACATTCTGGCTTTGCCGTTATATCTGAAAGAGAAAAATAAAATTTATTGGGCTGTGGAGCTTTCCATGGTGAAGATGAAAGTTGCAAGTTAGCTAAAGAGGTTTGCGGTAGTACCATGCGAGCATGTGTGGTTCTGGAAAGAACTGGAGGGAAAAGAACTTGAACAACCGGTTCGCAGAACCACACGTATCCTTGCCGTCGCAAACTAAAAACTGCGTATGACGGAAAGCCACATGGTGTGTTTTTAAATTGCAAGATACAGGCCTTAACGTGGAAGTCACATATTGAAATTGGAGGTCACGTTGGTGCTTGGAAAACTGTTTGAGTTCAATTGTATTAGTCAATTTTGTTAAATGGCGCACTCATTCCGTAAAAGCATCCCAGCTAGCAGCGCGTACATGTATAATGTTGCACTATCATTACTTGTCTCATTGGCTTTCCATACGCTACGTTGATCGCTCATCAGTCTAGTTCCCAGGAGACATGATATACCAGTTCACATAATGATATGAGTACCCGACGAAGTCCACAATGATGCATCATGGGTAATTATTCCCTGAAAATGGCGATCTTGTAATGTCTCAGATTTACGAAGGATCGAAAACGCGGTGAAATTCGTCTATTAACTACGTGTCCTGCATTGAAAAAGATACTGCTATTACTGAGTATTAGTGGGGTAAACGTTTTTGGTAGTTCACTAGAGTTTGGGCTCTTTCTTGAAGATCTAAGAAGGTGAGTTGATACAGGATGAATGAATTTCACAAAGCCCAATCAAATCGTGTACGTCAAGGGCCTAGCCAGAGAATAGAAGGCGGTAGCCCCACTACTCACTAGTGTGGTACGGACTCTCACTCCCGATCCATCCTCATTTTTTGCCAACAATATGCTCAATAATGGTAGTTCCATATAGGTTAGCTATTATTAATTGGGTCTTTAGGGGAAGATTTGCTTAATTAAGCAAGTGCAAAGGGATGTTTTATCTGGTACGATGACTGATCTACTTTCAAAATGCCACAGAATGGGGAACCATCAAAACAGTGAAGTGCAGAAAGGCCTAAAGAGTAGTGCCGTACTACTCAGGAAGTAACACAGGCCAACGTGATCGCCATAATAAGCTTTACCGCAAGTACTGTACTGCGTGGGTGATTTTGCACAATGTTAGGCATTATGGGAAGGAAAAAGGGACAATGGTTCCATTCCGTATCTGTAAAGGCTTATACGCCATGAAACCAAAATACCATCTCAACTTGAAAAAAGTCATTTCATGCAGGTGTCTTAATTGAACTTTTTGAATTCCATACCATTCAATTTAGCCTTAGGAAGAACTAAAATTATCAGGGAAAAATGTGGTTCAGGTCATTTTAAAAAACTTTTTGATGTAACTTACGCCTAGGCCTACATGCGTTTAAATAATGACAGACCGACAAAACCCTGTGTGTCACCATGATCATATACATGTACTCCCCTCAACCATACAAATATTGATTCTGATTACATCATAGGGCCCTTGGTACTTCATGCGGCAACTATTGCCATTGACACATGTAGTCGATAGCTGTGTAATTGTTGCCTTTTGTTTTGAAATCAGGTTTCTCAAGGCTGCAAACCTTATGAAGCAACTAGACAGTGGAGATTTTTGTAGTTTCGCAGAATGGAGCAAGAAGGAAAATTAGAGGAACATCTGCAAGCTTCTACAGAAGAATTGATTGAGTTTCAGGGAGAGAGGGTGGGGCCTGATGGATCAGAAGGTGGGATGCTGTTTTTAGTTCATTGTTACTAGACTGTGAATGCGAGGAATGAACAGTTGTTAACTGTTGATGATTTAAACACGGATTTTTTTCCCACCTGTGTCTGAAAAACAGCAGCGGTTGCAAGTCCAGAAGATGAAAAGATGATTAGAGCAGACGGTGATGATGACGATGGAGGGGATGGAGAAGAGGAAGGGGCGGAGACTGATGACAGTGGGGAGGAGGATGAAGATGATGTTGAAGACGACGAATATGACGAAGGTAGCATTCTTGAGATTTGAATAAAGACAGATCATGCTGCTTGTTTCATAGAGCTAATCAACACAGAAAAGAAATTGTTTTTCTTTTGTTACATAGAAGATGATGATGCTGAAGAGGGTGATGAGCAAGACGAAGATGAAGAAATGGAAGAGGATTTGGGAGATGAAGATGAGGACATTGAAGAAGACGAGGAGGAATGGGAGAATGTTGATGGGATGGAGAAATGTCCTGTTTGTCTGGATGTCTTCTGGGACAAAGAAGTTGGATCTCCAGAGAGCTGTGATCATATTTTTTGCTTGGATTGCATCTTGGAATGGAGTAGGGTATGTGCCATTTACATTATTGGCGAGGTTAAGAATGTAGCTCCTCAATAATCACATTGTAACCTTTGGCCTTTTTTATTTTTTCTCATATTCAGAACATCAACACATGTCCAGTCGATAGGAGTTTATTTCGATCCATCCTGGTCCGTCACTCCCTCCATGGAGAAGTGGTTAGAAGGATTGAAGTTGATGAGAAGAAACCAGAGGAGCAAGATGAGGATGATGCCACATATTGTGAGGTAAAATCATAGATGTTGTCCCCGAAGTAGGGGTCTTATAGAGTGACTGGCCTTAATTGGTTTCAAAGTTCATATTCATTGAGCTCAGAAGAGCAGAAAATATTTCAGCAGAGAAAATATTGGCCGAGGAAAAACAATTAACCGACCAAATTGTGTATTGCTAATGAGTGGCCACCAGCTTGTTTAATTTGTGCAGAAACAATTTACAAGTCAAGGTGTTTTATGATGTACACTACTAGCAAGCTTTGGCTCAGAATCTTCATGAATTCAGGCCCACATGATGTTTTGGCTTAGAAGATCACTGTCAAACTTTGCTAGTGGCTTTTGGCAACTCTTAACTTATTCTTTTGACATTTTATTACTGATTTTGTGACAGGTTTGTGGACGCTGTGATAGGGAGGATCGGTTGCTTCTTTGTGATGGCTGTGATGCCGGCTATCATTGTGAATGCCTTGACCCACCACTTGTACACATCCCCATCGAAGAATGGTATTGCCCAGAGTGTGTAGCTCAAAACAGGCATCAAGGTAGGACTTGTCCATATTTTGTACCTACGGGGTAGTCCCATATCTCTTGCGACACATGGGAAGGAGTATATTAAGTCTAGATCTTGTAGCAAAAGTGAGGAAAGAGTAAATTGTGTTATATCAAGTAGGATTCCAGAAATTTGGAAGTAATTGAGTCTTGATTTTCCTTTATTGATACTGACAGAAGATGATGGTAGCGAGGAAGAACCCGAAGTAACTGAACTTCGCACCTTACAGACTACTCAGCACGTGGGTGAACGCTCAACAACTCTTCGACGACGTCATGTGACCCCCGCCAGAGCTATTGCGCGGACTCATGTCAGTGAACGCGTCCGAGCAAGGATTACCCGGGCAAGAGCTGCTGAGCGCGAAGTTGAACAGGTATGCAATGAAAATCTGCAAGATGTGGGTGGCCGCT